TTTGTTCCCTGCCCTGTGCGCCTTTTACTGGTCCTAAAACTACCTCCTTAGAGCTCTGAAGGGACCCCCTGGGTCCAGATTCTGGGATTTGGGAGACAAATCGGGGTTCCCTTTAACCCTCTTCTTCCTGAGCCTCTGAAAAATTCTCCCTGAGGGGCACCTGGGCCAGGGGGCTGGGGCTGGAGGAGCCGCCTTGTGCCATCACCCTAGTAAAGGGGCTGCTGTTTGTCAGTCCCAGTCCCCCCCTCTGGCCCCCTTGGCTCCTGTAGCCCAGAGTGGGAGCTGGATCCCAAGGGGCCTGGCTGATGCTTTACCAGGAGCAGGGCAGCTGGGCCCCAGAACAGGGACTCGGGGGAGTCACTGCGCCCCTGGTGGCTCCTAGATGCAGGGAGAGTCCAGCACCAGGCCACTCCCACCCCAGCTCCAGGACAGATCCAGTCTAGGGTGGAGGGGCAGGTCAGGGACTGCAGGCAGGTGTGCGGGAGGCCTCCCGCGTCCCTGTGGTCTGGGGGCGGGCTGTCCAGCATCTCAGCCTATGGCTGGAGCAGGGTGGGGATGATCCAAACACACATACCTTTGGCTTTAAAACAGTGTTCAGATCAGACTGACACTGAAATTCCTCTTGAGCCGACTTAAGCTGCAAGCTGGGGAATGCAGAGGGAAGCCATACACTCCTAGGAGAGAGCTATGCAGGTTTTCCGATCTGTTTGCTCAGGGGCCAGAGATTGAAGGCATTTATTGCCCACTCTGAGCCCTTCTGGCCATTCCCTCCTTCCCCTTGCTTCCTGCCTCCAGGGCCAATCCTCTGCCACCCAGAGGACTGGGAATCCCAACTGCAGACTCTTGGGCATTAGCTTATGTTTTCAGTCAGGGACAAACCATTCCCGGTTAGAGCTTCAAGTACCCAGAGAACTTTCCTTGTGGGCCTCCTGGGTGTTGAGGGACAAGCTGGGGCTAGGCCAGGGTCATTCATTTATTCACTCATGTGGTTTACTGAGCAGCTGTGACACACCAGGCACTATGTTAGGTTCTGGGGATAGAAGAGGAACAAGACAGAGTGAAGAGACTGCTCTTTACAGTTTTCATGCCTTGAGGACCACAGGTATCAGCAGCCCCATTCAACTCACCTGAGGTGGAGTGACTGCATTCTGGTTCAGCATCCCTTTGCTTTTCAGCTCCTAAAAGCCCTAGAGTATGAATCCCGTTAGCTGGCAAACCACTGTCATGGCCACCCCTGGATAACATCTGCCACTAAATGCAGATGTTGGATCTTGGGCTCCGGGCAGACACCATGCCGAGTCCATCTGGAACTTTCAGGGATAGCTGCCTTCAGGCCAGCATCTTTGGGGCACTGTATAATAGCAGTTTGAGGTCCGTGTCTAGAAGAACAAGGAGTCTGGAATTTGCTGCCAAATGCATCTCAGGTTCTTAAACTCATTGTCTCTTGCTCATTTATTATGGAGTCCTTCTGCCCCATCAGTGGATAATGGGAGGAAAAGGAGCTTCTCCTTTAACATTGAAGCCTTTCCTCGTGAGTTGGCCTCTCTTCCTGACAGGTGTGGACCAAGGAGCTGGGAGAAAGCTGGCAAGGTCGACCAGATACCCAGCTCCCGCTGGACCCCTCCCCCCGCCAGCTCTGATGGCAGTTCCTGGCAGGTTAAAGGAGGCTACCTCCAAAGCATGTGCCACATGGCTCACTGTGAGTCCTGGCCCTTGCTCCCACCCTATGCCCCACCCCAAACAATTGAAAATTGGTAGCTATCACCAGATAGTGAGTTTCTGGCCAGCAGCTCAAGGAAGCTGAATGAACCCCAAACCCAGATCTAATGACTTCAGAATGTAATTCTCCATCAAAGATGCAGCATTGATGAAAATGCTCTGCACTGTTTGATCAATTTGAAGGGCTTAGGAAAGTTAACAAGGGTGTGTCCCCTGTCCTACCCTACCCCAGTTTGCTGGCTTTGTAATAAGATGAGACCTTTTGGTTATTGGTGTCAGACATCTTTGGATCTTGAGCTCTCTCTCCCACTTGCTTTCCCAGAGCAGGATACTGGGGCACTTTCCAGAGAGTGCTCCTTACAAGATGCCCAGAAGGACTATATTTAACTCTTGCTATTGTAGCCTGGGGACAGCCACCCCTCCCCCTGGGCATATAAGAGCAATGGGTCATGTGGTCAGTGGATGACTCCACAGAAGTGACCTCCTTTGCCAGAAGCTGTAGCCCTCTCCTTAACAGGAGTCTCTTGTTGGCCAGTTGGCCAGAGGGCCTGCTTCCCACGGGCATTGCAAGTGCCACAGTGCGGGGCCTGGCTCTGCACACCCAGGAAAAGTCTGCAGACCCCCAGCCCTCCGCAATAATTCACCAGACCAGAAGCCACTGATGTACAGAGAAAACTTAAGAAAAATGTATTTTATGTGAAAAAAAAGTTACAACTCTGTATACTGTATCAGCAGCTTTGTGTAAAAATGGCAATCAAGAGAGTCTAATATATTTAAAACTTTTTTAAAAAAAAATCCTCGCGGATCTTTGATATTGTATTGAAGTAACTTCCAGGTAGCTCCTTGCCATGCGGTAGTGGTGGGCCTTGTGTGCGAGACCATGGCTCGACCACATCCCAGAGGGGCATGCCCCTGGAGTTGCTTCCAGCTGCCAAGGCCTGTGACAGAATTCGCTGTTAGGAATTTTTAATTAAGATTATTAAATTTCTTTTAATAACACCTGCTAGCGTGGCTGTGGTCATTGCTGTGAGCTCACTTGAACTATGCTAATTTGAATTCACAAAGAGGTGATACCTGGGATAAAGGGTGGGGGAGGGCTCCCGGTCGGTCCCTGCTCCCACCATAGAAGGCTTTCCAGGAGGGCCCTGAAGCAGAGGGAGTTCTGAGGGCTCAGACATGGAGCAGATGTCTTTCTAGACTGGGAGATGGTGAAACCTGATGAATTCAAGAAAAGATAGGTGGTTGGGAATGACCTTCACTCTGTCAAATGTTCTGTTTGGAATTAACGTGGAGGTCTATAACAGCTCATATGTATATATATATATTTTCACACTTTCAAAGGTTTGTCTGATGACATATTTATATATAACAGGGCTGCCCCTCTCTTCTGTTCTGTTCTTGGAGTGCACCGACTTGTCCTATCCTCTTCCCCCCACCCCACACCAGTCCTTCTCCTCATATAGCTTACAGTGGGGAAGTAAAATACTACATACTACTTCGCATTATTATGACGATACAGCAGGCAAGACCCTGGTTATTCTCACTTTTTATCTCAGGCAGTAGAGGCATTGACAAGCTATGTGGTTGCACAGCCCCAGACCGTGGCGGTCTTTCTCTTTGTCATGTGAAGAAGTCTGTTGGTGTCTCGGGAGAGGATGAAAAGGGTGCTCTCTTGGACCCTTGTGGATGCTGGATGCCAGAGCAGGGACACATCAAAGGGCCCACACTTGGGCTTGAAAAACTTCACAAACAGGCTGGGGATGGAGAGAGGATGAGAAGAACAGTGGGCATTCATCCATTTAAAAAGTGTGGTGGTTTCTAAATAATAAGGGTAACCTCTCATATTATGAAGCACTTTAAAGTTGCACATATGCTTTCTCATTTACATGAAGAAAATGAAGTCTGAAAAGAGACTATTCGATTTAGCACTGCGGAACTCATGATGACCTTGACGAGAAGTTTTGGCAGAGCAGAGGAGGATTAAGCTTGATTGGACAGGGTTCAAGAGAGAATGGGAGGAAAACTGGAGACAGCAAGTACAGACAACTCGTTTGAGGTTTTATGCTATCAAAGTGAGCAGAAAGAAAAATGAGGAGGAAGCTCTGGAGGAATGTAGGGTCAAGACAGGGTTGTTTTAAGATGAAAAATAACTCAGCATGTTTGTACGCTAATAGGAATGAACCGTTAGAGAAGGGAAATTGAAGATCCAGGAGAGAGAAGAGAATTGCTGGAGAGATACGGGTTAGTAGTAGAGGGGCTGGCAGCTAGGGCCCAAATGGAAGGGACAGTTCACCTGCAGTAAGAGAAGGCCCTGTAAGTGGGCAGAGATACAGACGGGTAGGTAGATGTGGTGGGAGCATGTGGACTTTCTTGTCTTGACTGCTTCTATTTTCCCAGTGACACAGGAAGCAAGGAGAGAGGAAAACGTAGCGTGACTGAGGGAAAGGTAGGCTAGCAGGCAACCTTAAGGGCCCACTTGAGATCATGAATTTACAGCCCAACCAGTCAGCAGGGTTGCGTTTTCTTTTCCCCAGCCCTATACTGCTGCACGGGTGCAGGTGGAAAGTAGGGGGAGAGTGGGGTTTAACCAGAGTTGTGGTTTTGCCAGGCAAAAAAGGATGACGTGAGAGAAAAGAAAGCTACCTGAGGCTGTAATCAAAGGAGCGGCTATTATGGTGGACCAGTATATTTGAACGAATGAATGACTGATTAAATGCAGGGGGAAAAGGCGACATGGCTGGTCACACACAAGCTCTGAAAGCCCAGGATCAGCGCGGTCAGTGTGCCCAGGAGCAGGCTCCAGCCTCTCCTCGCTGGGCCCAGGTCTGACCGCCCGGGCCTTTGAAGGGCCGCGCTCTGGGGCGGGCCGGCCGGCAGGGGGCGCGCTAGGATGACTGAGGCCCGGTTCTCGGGCTTCAGTTCGGGTTCCGCCGCCTGGGCCGCCGCCCCGGACAGCACGGCCACTCAGGCCTGGCACCCTCTCTAGCTGACCGTGAAGACCTCGGCACCCCGCAGGGCCGGAGGAGGCACGGCTACATCGGAGGCAGTACAGAGAAGCCCAGTTTAACTGCCGCGAAGCATCTCCGGAGCGAGTGCGTGGACTCGGCCGCTGCCCGCAGCCAATGCGTGGGCGCGGGGCGGGGCCGGGCCGCGGCGCAGCCAGTAGCAGGTCAGGGGGCGGGGCCGTGGCGGCGTGTGCACTCCGCCGTTAGGGGCGGCAGCCAATGGGAGGGCCGGGGCGCGGGCCGGCTAGATTCAAAGGTGCTTATAAAGTCGGCTGCACGCCCGTGCTCGCCCGAGCCTGGTCCGGTCGGGGCGGCGTCATGGCGTTGCGGTGCGAGGTCCTGGACGAGCTGCCGGCCGCCTGCCTGTCGCCCTGCGGGCCGCCCAACCCGGCCGAGCTGTACAGCGAGGAGCGGCGCCTGGCGCTCGAGGAGCTGGTGGCGGGCGGCCCCGACGCCTTCTCGGCCTTCCTGCGACGCGAGCGCCTGGGCCGCTTCTTGAACCCCGACGAGGTGCGCGCCATCCTGCGCGCGGCCGAGCCGCCCGACCAGGAGGGCGCGGCGGCGGGGGCCGAGGACTCCTTCGGCTCGTCGCACGACTGCTCGTCGGGCACCTACTTCCCCGAGCAGTCGGACCTGGAGCCGCCGCTGCTGGAGCTCGGCTGGCCCGCCTTCTACCAGGGCGCTTACCGCGGCGCCACGCGCGTCGAGGCGCACTTCCAGCCCCGGGGCGCGGGGGCCGGCGGCCCCTATGGCTGCAAGGACGCGCTGCGCCAGCAGCTCCGCTCCGCGCGAGAGGTGAGCGGCCCCGCTGGGTCCCTTGGTTCGCCTTGGTCCCCGGTCGGACGGGGGACGTTCTTCAAGAATGGGAAACTGAGGCCTGCTGGGAACGCGGGCCAGGTGGTCCCGGGGTCCCCGACTTGCGCTACTCCGATTGTATCTCCTCGGGTCCCTAATCCCTCTGGCCGCTCCTTGTGTCAGGGGAGATCGGGAGAAGTCTCAGTCTCCAAGGATGCGAATTGTGTCCAAGGTCCAACTCCTAACATTCACATCCGCTGGGAGAGGGGACCAGAAATACTTCCAGTTCCAAATTTCAGTTAAAACTAAACCGGATTGCAAAATTATCTGGCTATCAGCCAACACTGCATCCCACTTTCAGGGGCCTCTTAGGAGATGCATCATCTAGGAAAAAGTTCTTGAAAGGTTGTCCTCAGAGACAGCTGTGGGCATTAGAAATCTATTTTTGCTAGTCGTCTCATCTTATGTTGGAGAAAGCAAACACGTATAAGAGCGGCAAGGTGAAAGCCCTGTCCCTTTCCCTCCTGCCACAGACTGGAGGAGAAGTTGCTCCTTCTGCAGATGGGTGGAGCAGGGGGTTTGCTTTTCCATAGGCTAGGGACTGCTCTGGTTAGCAGCAGCTTTCTAAAATGCAGACACTCCTGTATTAGGTCGTCTCTCTATTCCCAGAGGGTTTTGGTGCAGTTGTCTGTCTCAGTGTGACATGGTATTGGGGTGCAGAGGGAGGTTTCATCTCCCTGCCAGCCAGGATGACACTGCAGTAGAGTGCTGGGTACCCCGGGGGTCAGGGAAGAAGAATGCAGCTCGCAAGGTGAGTGGGGCAGCTAGGGTGTGGTGGCAGACACCTTACTCCAGAGCCATGGTCAGCTGCCACCTTGCTATCTGGCAGTGTCCAGCTTCCTGGCTGTCTGCCTGTGCCAGGGACATGGCATGTAAAGCCCAGGCCATGGTAAACTGGTAGACTAGTACATGAGTGTGTCTGGCTGTGGGTTACAATATCCGCATCAAGTCCGGGAACAAGCCTTGACTCACCAGTGTTCCTGATGCTGGTTATTCTCTGCCTGATGGTGGGATGGCAGTGGGTAGGAGATACAGTGGGCTAGTGCCTTGGGGGAGTAGATGTGGGCTTTTCCCAGCTAGGCTGGTATCAGCCCTACAGTGCTTTGGGTATGCTGAGGGTCCTTTTCGGGCAGCAGACACTTGTGGGTTCAGTGAGAAGGTTAAAAAGGTGGAAAAAAGCACGATTGTGGGGTAGGTCTGCATTCCCAAAACTCATCTCCAGGAGGAGAACTTGGGCACTTGGAACTTGAGAAAGTAGTGACCAGGTCTCCATGAAAGAGAGGGAGGCATTGCCCTGCCCTCTTGCTCAGCTCCGGTTTTTAGCGGTAGCGAAGGGGCAGTGCAGCTAAGGCCAGGGGGAAAACTGTCCATAACCTCCTGTGCTGGCCTTAGAAAGGGCTCCAGGCTGGCACTCAGACTTCCTTTGCCCTGTGGGCATTCTGTAATACTGACGTTCCTCGGTAGACCCTCCTGCCCTGTTCTGTGCTCTAGTCCAGCTACCCACTCATAGCTTTGAGATTCTGTATTTGCAACTTGGGCGATTTTAAGGAGAAAAGTGGTACATTATCTTTAAATCTGGTGAGGATTTTCAGCATTTCTGCCATATGCCAAATTGCGTGCATTTTCGGTATCTACTGTGTATCAGACACTGTGCCAGGGGCTGGGGCCACAGGTGAAGGGCATGATTCTTGCCTGCACTTCAGAGTTGACAGTCTGCTGGTGGGAGCGGTGAGGAGGTTGCAACAGGCAGTGGCGAGGGGCTGAAGAAAGAAAGCTGCAGGAGTGGAGGTGACCTGAGAGCTGAGTACAGGGGGTGCGATGGGTGGGCCTAGCCAAGGCAGAGGATAGGGACCTGCCCAAAAGTGTGAAAGGACTTGGTGTGTTTGGAGGCAGCCAGGTTCCTCACAGCTGGATCAGAGAGTGTGTGAGGGTTAGTGGTAGGAGAGGAGGCTGACGGTGGAGAGTGGGGCCAGACTGTCGAGGGCTTTGTACACTACTTGAAGGAGCTGTGGGGAGCCATTGAAGGTTTAGAGAGAGGAGAGGAGCATGATCAGATTGGGGTTCCTGAGCAATAATTCTGGTGGGAGCATGAAGGAGGATGGGTTAGAGAGAGGGGAGACTGATGTCTGGGCTGGTTGTAGGGAGGAGGCCATGGGGATCTACACACGAGAAGAGAGTCTGTGCTAAGGCAGTGCGGGGGGATTGGGCGGGGAGAGAGTTTTAGGTAGATCATTAGATGTCCTGGAAGGGTGGTTGGGGTGCGGAGGGGATAGGCAGGAGAATAGGCAAAGCCAAGGAGGAGGAGGTATAGGAAGAGTTGAGGAGGACTGAGATTTTTTAGTTTGAGTGGGCAGCAGTGCTACCCAATTCCAATACAGGAGGGAGAATAGGCTGAGGGTAGGGATGGGGAGATGAGTTGGACTTGAGACAGGCTAAATTTGAGGTCTCAGAAACCAGCTCTTTTATTTGAAAAAACAAAAACCATGATAATGCTTTTTCTGCCATGCACTATTCCAGTTAATCTTGAGGTAGGTGCAATTATTATCTCCATTTTGCAAGTGACAGAATCGAGGCATAGAGAAGTTACCCTGAGGTCACACAGCTAGGGAATGATAGAGCCAGGACTCAAACTGAGGCACAGCGTCTCTTAACCACTGCCAGCCACCCCGCTCTGCCTTGTGCCATGTGGAGATAAGGAGTCGTCTCTGTCCTTAGGCGGACAGAGGCTTGTGGAGGAGACAGGTAACAGAGAGCTAAGCTGGTGGCTGGTCAGGTGCTGCTGCTCCAGGTAGACATGTGTGTTTTGTACACAGGAGTGGCTGTGTCACTCTGGCCTCACCCTTGGAAGCCCAGTACCTGAGACAGTGAGGACCGTGAAGATGCAGGTTTCAGGCTGTTTCAGGACGAGATGAGAAGCCGTCCTGCATCTGCATCACGACAGTAAAAGCACTTGATGATATGATTGAGCACTTTCAAGGGGTCAGTTTCTATGCTAAGCCCTTTACCTGGATTATCTCATTTAACCCTCCCAACCCTGGGAGGAGGCCATAGTTAAGAAGAGACCAGGCACAGAAAGGTTAAGTAACATGCCCAAGATCGCACAGTGTGGGACACAGCTGGGCTAGAGTCCAAGTCTGCCCGGCTCCGAGCCCATGCTCTTAATCACTGCTTCACGTGGCTGCCCTACCATGAGGAAGGGTTGGTACTTTGGTGGTTTTCAACAGGCTGAAGATTTTTAACGTTTCTTAAGATTTGGACTTCTTATTTCCATGTTACGTATCCTATAAACAGGAAAATGACAGTGACGGTACTAAATCTGCCCTTTTTGGGAAGAAGACTGGAGTGGTCAGGGTACAGGCACAAGAAACCAGCATCTCTGGGTAAATGGCGGTGTCTAATCCTGGCATTGCAGCCTAAACGGATAGTTCTGGGGTAGGGTCCACCCTTGCCCAGGACTCATGCTGCTTTTTGAGCCATTAAGGCTTGCAGGGTGCCTGGCGGGGCACAGGTGCTCAATAGACACGGTGGAGACCAGTCATATGCACCTTTGATCATTCAGCTACATGCATTTGGGGGGAGGGGAGAGGTAGGAAGGAAGATAATGCAACAGTTTGGGTGATTCTGCCTGCCTTTCCACTCAGCAAGTACTTGTCCCAGAGTAGGCGTGACTGGGGCTGTGAATCTGCCAGTCTCTCCATTGGCTCAGTTTGTGTGCGCCTTTCAAAGTGTGGGCATTCTGCCACACTGAGGGAGGTACAACGTTTAAAAAACACAAGGTTTATGTACAGCATGGCTTCTGAATACGAGCTGACTGCTGACCTGGTGCTTGGTCGAGCTTCACCAAAGCTGGAGGAAAAACTGCTTTGGACTTTCTGAGAGCCAAGATATTTGCTTCCTAAGAAATTTTCGGTGTAATTTTGAACCATACAGGATTTTTCCCTTACACACCTATTACAGAATCTATCCCTATACTACTGTGTTTGTTGCTGAATCATTCAGTTCTTGGTCTCTGGTGCCATGTGAATCAGTGTTTGGCTGGGCTGTGGCCCCCACAAATCAGTGGGAGTGGAGACCGTGCCTGGAGGTACTGTGTGCCCACATTTGGCGAGGTGCTTCTGCTCTGGCTGTTGGGCTGTTCCTGGTTTCTGAATGGGAGGGAGTTCATGGGCAAAGTCATCCTACCAGCAGCTTCCACACTCCTCAGAGCCATCGTTCTCACCAGCTGCCTGTTCCCTTTGTGCTTTTGTTCCAAAGAGGCACTTTTGCTATGACCTCACCCTTGGGTCCTTTTGATAACCTGAGCATTAGTAGAAGCAATCATGCCTTGATGAAGAGTCCTACCAGGAGGAGTAGCCGCTGAGCAGTCTGTCAGAGGCCCCTGGTGTGCCTGAGGATGTATCCAATTAAGATCCTCCTGATCTTGCTTAACTCTCCTAGGAGTTACAGTAGAGCCTGTGCAGTGTGATCAGTTCCTGTTCCAGAGGGATGCCCATATCCCAGGCAGAAAGCCTACCCAGGGCAGGCTTTCTCAACCTCACCGCTATTGACATTTTGGGCCAGATAATTCTTTGTCCTAGGGGGCTGTCCTGTGTGTTATGGGTTGTTGAGTAGCATCCCTGGCCTCCACCCACTGGATGGCAGAAGCAACCTCCCCTCCCTCAAATAGTCATGACTTTCAAAAATGTCTCCCAAGGGGGAATAGGGAGTTATTGCTTAATGGTTACAGAGTTTCTGTATGGAGTGATGAAAAAGTTTTAGAAACAGTGGTGATAGTTACATGGCGTTGTAAAAGTAATTAATGCCACTGATTACACTTAATTAAAAATAATTTAGATGCCAAATTTATGTTGTATATTTTACCACAATTTAAAAAGTCTCTAGACATTACCAAATGTCCTCTGGGGGGCAAAATTGCCCCTGTTTAAGAACCCCTCGCCTAG